ATATAATCCTGCCTTTATTTCTAATGATGTCAGTGTTGGTCCTCCGTACTGCAGAAGCCTGATAATCATCAGATCAGGTGTGTTGGAGCAGAGGAACAGGTGGAACATGCAGGACTGCAGACCTCCAGGACCAGGACCAGGACCAGGACCAGGACCAGGACCAGGACCAGGACCAGGACCAGGACCAGGCCTCTGTTGTTCCTGAAACGACCTGTTCAAAAGTCCAGAGTTTCAGTTCCTGCTCTGCTTCTCCACACAGTGAGAGAAGAAAAGCCTTCAGAGGAGAACCGTTCTGAGTTCGAAGCTGTTTTAATTAGAGATCTGAAGTTATTTCACAGCTCGATGCTTTTATTTCCTTGGAGCGAGGAAGTGTTTTTCTACAWCCAAACACAGTCTCAAGCTCTCCCTGCAGCAAACACAGGAAATCTAGTTGTTTTTTAAATTAACTATCCCATTAAATATAAAGAAAGTAAGTGTTGCTGTGTGGCTGAACTGCTCCTGCTCTGCTTTTAGGTTGTTAAACTAATAAACCAATTAAAATAACAAATCTACACTTGTAGTTTTATGCAAATCTCATCTTATGAATGAATTTAGTTAAAGAGCCAAAAGCATTCATTAAAACCTGTAACGTAGGTGGAAAGTGTCCTGTTAGCTGCTGGCTGAGCAGACGTGAGAGGACTAAAACAGTTTGATACCTGCTCATGTTGGGCTGTGTGAAGGAGGGCGTTGAGGATTTTCTGCAGGTCTTCTTTGAGCTGCCATCTTTCCTGAGGGTTGTGAGTCAGAGGCTGACAGGCGGTCCAGTAATGTCCAGCAGCTGCAACGCACAAGTCCTGCTGGTTGGCTGTTTCTGCAAAGCTGTGGTCAAAACAGACAAGGAGCCGTTTATACTCTGAGCCCGAGGCCTCGGTCAGGAAACCAACCTGTTGTTATAAACGTACCTGACGGCCGACAGGAACTGCTTCAGAGCTTCTCTGTAAGACTTCAGGTCTCCTCTGGACTCAGAAACTAAAGCCAGACCCATCAGACAGGCTGCAGAGCTCAGCATCTCCTCCACTGCACAACCACCAAATCTGTGCAGACAGGGAGGATGATTGATTGATTGATTGATTGATTGATTGATTGATTGATTGATGACGGCTGGATGTATGGTTGTATGTACGTATGATGGATTCTGCAGGACTGGTTCTGGTTGTTCTCTGTCTCAGACTGCAGTAATCTCAGTAGAATCTCAGTAGAATCAAAGTATAATCTCAGTATAATCTCAGTATAATCCCAGTTTATTCTCAGTATAACTTCAGTATAATCCCAGTATAACCTCAGTATAACCTCAGTATATTCTCAGTATAACCTCAGTATAATCGCAGTATAATCCCAGTTTATTCTCAGTATAACTTCAGTATAATCCCAGTATAACCTCAGTATAACCTCAGTATATTCTCAGTATAACCTCAGTATATTCTCAGTATAATCCCAGTATAACCTCAGTATAACCTCAGTATATTCTCAGTATAACCTCAGTATA